AAAGGTGGCACAAAACAAAATCAGATAAAGGATTGTTTGTCTAGACTCAAAATAGGGCGCACCAACTAAAAAGTATTAATACTCCACATTAATCAAGACAACTGGAGCACTGGGCCAGCCACTCTTAAATACCACCTGGTCCAGCACAGGTGAAACACCTTCCCACTAACGAGATGGCAACCAGCACAGGTGTAACACATACTGACTAACGAGGTGACGCCACTCTGTGCGCCCTACGTGCTAACATGCCATACGTGCTAAAAGTCCAACCTCAAAACATAAATGGAAAAACTAAAACTTGTAACACCTTTCCCCTTAATACAACAAATATATCCTATATTTTTGTTGGACAAGTTTGCTCACCACAAACAGAAAACAACTTCCATTGCACAACATAATCAACTTAAATGTGTCACCTTCTCCAATGTAAACATGGTGTCTACTGGCTGTCAACACTGAAATACAAGAAAAAACAGCCACCTCTTATTTATATATTTTTTACATACAGTTGAAGTCGTAAGTTTACATACACCTTAGCCAAATACATTTAAACTCAGTTTTTCACAATTCCTGACATTTCATCCTAGTAAAAATGCCCTGTCTTAGGTCAGTTAGGATCACCACTTTATTTTAAGAATGTGAAATGTCAGAATAATAGTAGAGATAATGATTTATTTCAGCTTTTATTTCTTTTGTCACATTCCCAGTGGGTCAGAAGTTTACATACACTCAATTAGTATTTGGTAGCATTGCCTTTAAATTGTTTAACTTGGGTCAAACGTTTCGGGTAGCCTTCCACAAGCTTCCCACAATAAGTTGGGTGAATTTTGGCCCATTCCTCCTGACAGAGCTTGTGTAACTAAGTCAGGTTTGTAGGCCTCCTTGCTCGCACACGCTTTTTCAGTTCTGCCCACAAATTTTCTATAGGATAATTTTTTAGAAAAACTTCCAACTCTCTTCAAATCAAATCAAATCAAATGCAAATAGTCTGGGTAGCCATGATTAGCTGTTCAGGAGTCTTATGGCTTGGGGTAGAAGCTGTTGAGAAGCCTTTTGGACCTAGACTTGGCGCTCCGGTACTGCTTGCCGTGCGGTAGCAGAGAGAACAGTCTATGACTAGGGTGGCTGGAGTCTTTGACAATTTCTAGGGCCTTCCTCTGACACAGCCTGGTATAGAGGTCCTGGATGGCAAGAAGCTTGGCCCCAGTGAGGTACTGGGCTGTACGCACTACCTCTGTAGTGCCTTGTGGTCGGAGGCCGAGCAGTTGCCATACCAGATGGTGATGCAACCAGTCAGCATGCTCTCGATGGTGCAGCTGTAGAACTTTTGGAGGATCTGAGGACCCATGCCAAATCTTTTCAGTCTCCTGAGGCGGAATAGGCTTTGTCGTGCCCTCTTCACGACTGTCTTGGTGTGTTTGGACCATGATAGTTTGTTGGTGATGTGGACACCAAGGAACTTGATGCTCTCAACCTGTTCCACTACAGCCCCGTCGATGAGAATGGGGACGTGCTCAGTCCTCTTTTTTTTCCTGTAGTCCACAATCATCTCCTTTGTCTTGATCACGTTGAGGGAGAGGTTGTTATCCTGGCACCACACGGCCAGGTCTCTGACCTCCTCCCTATAGGCTGTCTCATCATTGTCGGTGATCAGGCCTACCACTGTTGTGTCGTCTGCAAACTTAATGATGGTGTTGGAGTCATGTCTGGCCATGCAGTCATGGGTGAACAGGGAGTACAGGAGGGGACTGAGCACGCACCCCTGAGGGGCCCCCGTGTTGAGGATCAGCATGGCAGATGTGTTGTTACCTACCCTTACCACCTGGGGGTGGCACGTCAGGAAGTCCAGGATCAAGTTGCAGAGGGAGGTGTTTAGTCCCAGGGTCCTTAGCTTAGTAATGAGCTTTGAGGGCACTATGGTGTTGAACGCTGAGCTGTAGTCAATGAATAGCATTCTCACGTAGATGTTCCTCTTGTCCAGGTGGGAAAGGGCAGTGTGGAGTGCAATAGAGATTGCATCATCTGTGGATCTGTTGGGGTGGTTTGCAAATTGGAGTGGGTCTAGAGTTTCTGGGAAAATGGTGTTGATGTGAGCCATGACCAGCCTTTCAAAGCACTTCATGGCTACAGACGTGAGTGCTACGGGTCGGTAGTCATTTAGGCAGGTTATCTTAGTGTTCTTGGGCACAGGGACTATGGTGGTCTGCTTGAAACATGTTGGTATTACAGACTCAGTCAGGGACATATTGAAAATGTCAGTGAAAATACTTGCCAGTTGGTCAGCGCATGTTCGGAGTACACGTCCTAGTAATCCATGTGGCCCTGCGGCCTTGTGAATGTTGACCTGCTTAAAAGTCTTACTCACATCGGCTACGGAGAGCGTGATCACATAGTCATCCAGAACAGCTGATACTCTCATGCATGCTTCAGTGTTGCTTGCCTCGAAGCGAGCATAGAAGTGATTTAGCTCGTCTGGTAGGCTTGTGTCACTGGGCAGCTCGCGGCTGTGCTTCCCTTTGTAGTCTGTAATAGTTTTCAAGCCTTGCCACATCCGACGAGTGTCAGAGCCGGTGTAGTATGATTCAATCTTAGTCCTGTATTGACTCTTTGCCTGTTTGATGGTTCGTTGGAGGGCATAGCGGGATTTCTTATAAGCGTCCAGGTTATAGTCCCGCTCCTTGAAAGCGGCAGCTCTACCCTTTAGCTCAGTGCGGATGTTGCCTGTAATCCATGGCTTCTGGTTGGGGTATGTACGTATGGTCACTGTGGGGACGACGTCATCGATGTACTTATTGATGAAGCCAGTGACTGATGTGGTGTACTCATTTACATTTACATTTTAGTCATTTAGCAGACGCTCTTATCCAGAGCGACTTACTCCTCAATGCTATCGGAAGAATCCCGGAACATGTTCCAGTATGTGCTAGCAAAACAGTCCTGTAGCTTAGCATCTGCGTCATCTGACCACTTTTTTATTAACCGAGTCACTGGTGCTATCTGCTTTAGTTTTTCGTCGTTCAGCTACGACTCATAAGATATGAAGATGTGAAACATAAGATATTACAGTTTTTAATGTCCCGTTGGTAGGATAACCTTAATCTTAGGACGTCCAATTTGTTTTCAAATGATTGAACATTGGCTAATAGCATTGATGGAAGAGGCAGTTTACTCGCTCGCCGTCGGATCCTTACAAGGCACCCCGACATACTTCCACGATATCTCCGTCTCTTACTCATGTGAATGACAGGGATTTGGGCCTTGTCGGGTGTCTGTAGGATATCCTTCGCGTCCGACTCATTGAAGAAAAAATCTTTGTCCAATACGAGTTGAGTAATCGCTGTCCTGATATCCAGAAGCTATTTTTGGTCATAAGAGACGGTGGCAGAAACATTATGTACATAACAAATTACACAAATAACGTGAAAAAACACACATAATAGTACAATTGGTTAGAGGGCTGTAAAACGACAGCCATCTTCTCCAGCGCCATTTCTTTTCCCCTTGGATCAAGTCCAAATAAAAACTAATCTCCAATACGGAAAAACGTGCAGTCAAAATAAATAGTGAGCCAGGGCAACACACTGGCTAAACGCTAAACTTATTGACTGCCCACCTTGAGAGACAATCAGCAACCAAGTTGTCCTTACCACAGGCATGTCTGATTTCAAGGGGAAACTCCTATGATATCCATAGTAACTTTCCTCTCGTGATTTTCCTCAGTGAAATGTCATGCTCTAGTACATTGTTCTCAGTTGGCACATCTACCTTTGAAGTCTGAAGTTTACATACACTTAGGTTGGAGTCATTAAAACTAGTTTTTCAACCACTCCACAAATATCTTGTTAACGAACTATAGTTTTGGCAAGTCGGTTAGGACATCTACTTTGTGCATGACACAAGTAATGTTTCAAACAATTGTTTACAGACACATTATTTCACTTATAATTCACTATATCACAATTCCATCAAAACTATGAAATAACACATATGAAATCATGTAGTAACCAAAAAAGTGTTAAACAAATCAAAATATATTTTATTATTTGAGATTCTTCAAATAGCCACCCTTTGACTTGATGACAGCTTTTGGTTACTACATGATTCCATATGTGTTATTTCATAGCTTTGATGTCTTCACTATTATTCTACAATGTAGAAAATAGTAAAAATAAAGAAAAACCCTTGAATGAGTAGGTGTGTCCAAACTTTTGACTGATACTGTATATATACGTTCTTCTAAATGATGAAATGTTTAAATCAACTTAACTCGGAATCATTTTGTTAGAGTGACTTTAAAAATGTAGATGAGACAGATAACATTTTTAGTTGAGCAAGATTAGTGGCAGTCAGGGAAAGTGCTGAACATTTTTTTGTTACCTACATTACCCTATGCTTTGTCAACTGAGCCTCTTCCGGTAGATGGAAATAAACAGTTCACGCATTATGTAACTATAACTGTAACTATAAGGCAAATTTCTTTATTTCGTTCTGTATTCAATTTGTCAACAATTTGTAAAATGCATCTTCATTATTTAGACAGCCTTTCATATAAACATTTGAGTAGGACTTGATTCGCTATCAGAGGTGTTCATAGTAATGGTGAGTTGCATCCATTACATATTGCGGAATTGTTCAAGCTATTAAATGGCACGGGAAACATGAGTAAAGTAATAGATAGGCAATCAAATCTTTTACATTTCGAATTTATTGACGATTAAAAAGTTGTGTGCAGGCGATTTGGTGATGTTGGGGGTTGTGTCCAGTTTTGCGCAACATGACTGGTTGCCATAGGATACAGAAGTGGGTATGGCTATAAAAGCTCAGCGCGTGGTGGCTGAAATTTGATTCGAGTTTAAAAGGCCCAGCAGCTCAGAAACCAAGAAGAGTTCGTTGGAGTCCTTTCGCGGTCAGAGTCAGGTAGCTCCTTATAAAGAGAGGCACTCAACTCTACCCCTCTAGCACTGTAACTATGGCCAAGGAGCGCACAGAGGGACTATGCCATGCACACTCCCGTGCATGAGCTCCTCTTTAACGGAGTCAACCAGTCTCTGGTTTTCAGACCTACGAATTATCCGATGATGGGGATCCTTGGCAATGGCACCATCCACCCGAACGGGAGCGATCCTTTTGGAAGAAACGAAGAGGTCGCCAAAATAGAGATAACGGTCCTGAGCATCACCTTTGTGGTGGCGGTGATTGGGAACGTCAGTGTCTTGCTGGCCATGTACAACACCAAGAAAAAGACGTCGAGAATGCACCTCTTCATCCGGCACCTTAGTATCGCTGACCTAGTGGTCGCCTTCTTTCAGGTCCTGCCGCAGCTATGCTGGGAGATCACCTTTCGCTTCTACGGGCCAGATTTCCTGTGCAGGATAGTGAAGCACCTCCAGGTGATGGGCATGTTCGCCTCCACCTACATGATGGTGATGATGACCCTGGACCGTTACATCGCCATCTGCCACCCTCTGAAGACCCTCCAGCAGCCCACCCAGCGGTCTTACATCATGATCATTAGCACCTGGATGTGTAGTCTGGTCCTCAGCATGCCGCAGTACTTTATCTTCTCCCTGAGTGAGATCAAGAACGGCTCGGAGGTCTACGACTGCTGGGGCCACTTCATAGAACCTTGGGGCGTAAAGGCATACATTACTTGGATAACGGTTGGCATCTTCCTCATCCCCGTGTTCATTCTGATGATATTCTACGGGTTCATCTGCCACAGCATTTGGAAAAATATCAAATATAAGACCAGGAATACACCCGCGGGAGGTGCGTCTAAAAACGGTCTCATGGGCAAGAACTCCGTTAGCAGCGTTACCACTATATCCAGAGCGAAGTTGAGAACGGTCAAAATGACTTTTGTGATTGTCCTGGCATACATTATTTGCTGGTCACCTTTCTTCATCGTACAGATGTGGTCGGTGTGGGATGAGAACTTCGCATGGGATGGTAAGTGACTTCACTGTATTGGAAAAAATATTGGATCGCGCACACAAAATCAACAGGTAAACCTTGATATAGAATAAATAACATGACCCACTGGGCACACACTGGTTGAATCAACGTTGTTTCCAGGTCATGGCAATGAAATTACGTTGAACCAACGTTTCCGCACGTTCAATTGACGTATGTGCCAAGTGGGGAGATATCTTCACTCAATTATCTCTCTCCCTCTACAAATAACTAATGTGGAAGCCATAGTCTTTATAGGGGGTTGCGCAAAACATTTGGTGATGTATCTATTCTGTGCCAAAATGTTAGCCTTATTGCTTTTAGCATTAACTTTTTTTATTTTTATGAATGTCAATGAGAATTGAGGAGGAGTAGCCTACGTATACAATTGAATCAGTATAGAAATGAATCCATATGTGTCATGGAAAGAAAATGTAATTGTGCATAAACCTTTATTGAGCACTGAGCGCCCTGCTTAATTCCGTTACAACATTCAAATCCAGACTGTATAGAATCAAAATATGAAGTTTAAAATCGAATTAAATGTAGCAAATTAAACATAACATATACGGTGTGCTGACATAATAGACAAAGTCATGTTAATCCTGTACCATAACGGTTTTTTATTTTTTATCGCACTTGAGATATCAGGTGTTTAAATAGGCCTATAGATATGAGTGTCATTGTTTGTGCCATTTAATGATATGATAACTACCCGCAAATGTTTTATGAATTTCACTGCACCGTTGATTTATACCCCAGCTATTGGACTAATTCTCTTTTGGTCATTTGTTTTTCCCCTTTCCTTCCAGATTCTGAGAACACTGCTGTCACACTGTCCGCGCTCCTCGCGAGTCTAAACAGCTGCTGTAACCCGTGGATATACATGATCTTCAGTGGGCATCTCCTACACGATTTTACTCACTGTTTCCCGTGCTGTAATAATTTACGCCATAAGTTCAAGAAAGAGGACAGTGACAGCAGTCTCCGGAGAAATACGCTATTGACTAAAATGACCAACCGGAGCCCAACATGCAGTTCGGGACTTGGAAAGACCCTGACAACTCCCCCAAGTCCTCCATTCTATCTATCCAAGCAGAGACCTAACACAGTGCGTTAAAAGCACAAACACACGACAGAGTTTATTTATAGTTGACTCTTATTAACTTGAGAATTATAAGACTTTCAAGGTACCCCTTAAAACTGTTGGGATATTGACACTGATTGATTAATTAATGTGTCTCTAAAAAATATTTGTGATTATGCAGTGGTTTGGGGGTCTATTGTTTGGTATGCCATACAGAAAAAAAGCTCACGAATTAAGTCTTGATAAAGTCAAAGTGATAAGCTAAAATGACAAAGTGATTAATTATTTCCTCTGGTATAAACCATTATTATGTGAACATTATGTCTTTGTTTGCCATATACAGGCCAGTTTTTCATCAGGTTACAAACCTGATTCTATGGAATCTATTATCGTTTATAGTGGGTGAATTAGGCTACATAAGATCTGAATATGAAAATATATAATAGTGGAAAAGAAACAGATAATCTGAACATATTTAAATACCAACAGCTATAGCTATATCACTTTTTTTTAAACTTCCTACAACATTCCACATTCCAGAGTCCTCTTTTCTATGCACTCTGAGTTGATATGATCCAGCCTAGGAATTTCTACAGCAAAACCCAGACCACTTCAGATGACGAATTACAGATCTGTGACCAAGATGCATGGATTAGATCATCACAGTCATGCTATTAAGATAATGCACTTTTTTAATAACAGTTATGGCTGCCGGCTGTTTGTTTGTGTGTGTGACTATGTGTTGGCCATATTTGCCCAGTGAGTCTCTCAGTGTGAAATGAAATTCATTTGGCCCTGACTGTTTACAAAGTAACAGAGGTGCCTGCCTGCTGGCCTGGTGGACTTCTACATTGGACCATTTTCCATCCCTTTCTTCTTTTAGTATTTTCCAAAACAATTCCATAGAGCCTCATAGCTCATAAATCTATGATAAATCATTTTTGCTGCATTTAGAACACTCACAAAATGTCAATTTGGGAGTCATCATCATCATTATTATTCATCCAGTTTATACAGTTTATCATTGTCGTTAACCCCTAGTTAAATCACTGGACTCTATTAGCCTCCGTGGCTGGAGCCTCTGCCGACAGTGTTGAGAGACAAGATGTGACTGTCTCCCTCAGCTTGAGAATAACTAACATACATTTAGAGGGAGGGGAATGCTAGTGTACTATGTATGCATTAACCTCGTCCCAGGCTATATTCATAGAGAGAGAGAATCGTCTGGTGGATGAGATGAACTGTGTATGCATGTATGTTTAGGGGGGGAAGTGACTGAAGTAGGAGAGGCCGTTTGAGAAGAAAGAGCACCTACTGTTGTGTATAGACTATACTGTATATATATATATATATATATATATATATATATATATATATATACTGTATGTGTGTGTGTGTGTGTGTGTGTGTGTGTGTGTGTGTGTGTGTGTGTGTGTGTGTGTGTGTGTCACAGCTCCTCCCATAGCCTCCACAGCCTCCACATCAGCAACATTTGAAAAAATACACATTCCACAACACAGGCTACTGGTTAAAAACACAGACACACTTCCTGACTTCCTGCCTGGGGAAACCTATTGTTTTGGACACAGCCCACATTGTAACACCAGGCTACACAATTTGCTGTACGTTCATGCCAATTTATTCTATAGGATGTGACTGACATTTCATTGCCAGACCAAATGCACTAAAGAATGTACTAAAAGGAAAATACTGATGTAAAATATAAAACCTGAAGTAAAGGTTTTCCAATTTGTATATACAGTATGTACTGTACAATTGGAATGTATGTTTCTATAGAACACAAGTTTTGCCAGTGTTGAAGATATCTATATGAATAAGTTATGTAAAGTTGTGTAATGTGACTTTGCATCTATTTCCCCTTGCTTGTACACATTGTAAAGACAATACACATCTCTGAAAATATAAAGAACATTTTCTATACAAAATATGTAATGTCTCTGTCTCTTTTTAAAATAAGTAGCAAAGGAGACACTATTTATATACTCAGGAGAAGGGGAATACTGTAATGTGTCTGAAATGGCACCCTATTTCCTATACTGCACTGCTTTGACCAGGGCCCATAGGGCTCAAAAGTAGGTCAAAAGTAGGCTAGTGCCCTACTGTATACAGTAAAGGGAAAAAAGTATTTGATCCCCTGCTGATTTTGTACGTTTGCCCACTGACAAAGACATGATCAGTCTATAATTTTAATGGTAGGTTTATTTGAACAGTGAGAGACAGAATAACAACAACAAAATCCAGAAAAACGCATGTCAAGAATGTTATAAATTGATTTACATTTTAATGAGGGAAATAAGTATTTGACCCCTCTGCAAAACATGACTTAGTAATTGGTGGCAAAACCCTTGTTGGCAATCACAGAGGTCAGACGTTTCTTGTAGTTGGCCACCAGGTTTGCACACATCTCAGGAGGGATTTTGTTCCACTCCTCTTTGCAGATCTTCTCCAAGTTATTAAGGTTTCGAGGCTGACATTTGGCAACTCGAACCTTCAGCTCCCTCCACAGATTTTCTATGGGATTAAGGTCGGGAGACTGGCTAGGCCACTCCAGGACCTTAATGTGCTTCTTCTTGAGCCACTCCTTTGTTGCCTTGGCCGTGTGTTTTGGGTCATTGTCATTCTGGAATACCCATCCACGACCCATTTTCAATGCCCTGGCTGAGGGAAGGAGGTTCTCACCCAAGATTTGACGGTACATGGCACCGTCCATCGTCCCTTTGATGCGGTGAAGTTGTCCTGTCCCCTTAGCAGAAAAACACCCCCAAAGCATAATGTTTCCACCTCCATGTTTGACGGTGGGGATGGTGTTCTTGGGGTCATAGGCAGCATTCCTTCTCCTCCAAATACAGCGAGTTGAGTTGATGCCAAAGAGCTCAATTTTGGTCTCATCTGACCACAATACTTTCACCCAGTTCTCCTCTGAATCATTCAGATGTTCATTGGCAAACTTCAGACGGCCCTGTATATGTGCTTTCTTGAGCAGGGGGACCTTGCGGGCGCTGCAGGATTTCAGTCCTTCACGGCGTAGTGTGTTACCAATTGTTTTCTTGGTGACTATGGTCCCAGCTGCCTTGAGATCATTGACAAGATCCTCCCGTGTAGTTCTGGGCTGATTCCTCACCGTTCTCATGATCATTGCAACTCCACGAGGTGAGATTTTGCATGGAGCCCCAGGCCGAGGGAGATTGACAGTTCTTTTGTGTTTCTTCCATTTGCGAATAATCGCACCAACTGTTGTCACCTTCGCACCAAGCTGCTTGGCGATGGTCTTGTAGCCCATTCCAGCCTTGTGTAGGTCTACAATCTTGTCCCTGACATCCTTGGAGAGCTCTTTGGTCTTGGCCATGGTGGAGTGTTTGGAATCTGATTGATTGATTGCTTCTGTGGACAAGTGTCTTTTATACAGGTAACAAACTGAGATTAGGAGCATTTAGCATTAGGAGTGTGCTCCTAATCTCAGATCGTTACCTGTATAAAAGACACCTGGGAGCCAGAAATCTTTCTGATTGAGAGGGGGTCAAATACTTATTTCCCTCATTAAAATGCAAATCAATTTATAACATTTTTGACATTAGTTTTTCTGGATTTCTTTGTTGTTATTCTGTCTCTCACTGTTCAAATAAACCTACCATTAAAATTATAGACTGATCATTTCTTTGTCAGTGGGCAAACAAACAAAATCAGCAGGGGATCAAATACCCTTTTCCCTCACTGTCAAAGGAATAGGGTTAGTGGTGTGCGGGTCAGCTGTTTGTTCACCCACACCCCAAACACCCGACTATATGTGATAAAGTGAAAATCTGAGGCTCGCACCCAACCCTAACCCTCAAATATAGAAAATGTGCTATACAGTCAGAGATGGCTGAGCGATTTGTTGACCGGCCTTTTAGATAGTCCTATGTTTCTGCTTAGAATTTCCGACATTTTGGTAAGCTATTTGTTACTCAACTTGTCTATAATTAGGTAGGCCTATGCAGCTTCTCTGTCATTACTTGTTGCCCTAGAATGCTAAATAAACACTTGCTCACCAGAATAATGTCATAAATCAATAGAATGAATGCTTCACTGTAGTTGACATCGGTAAAGTTTTATATTTTCAACTCTGCTTCTCTCGGGCATGACACACAGCAAAGACATTTGGGGACCGGGAAGAAAATGCAATAGGCCTAACTACTGGAAAGATTTTCCATGCAAAATTTCCAAATGACATCCGTTTAACCGGTTTTGAGGAAATTAAAAGCTGTGAAAACTACCCAACATCTTTCTGATAAGATTTCAGTTCAGCTTGGATGCATATTTTACTTTATGTGGTTGAAATAGGCTACTATCAGCTTTTATGATGCTGATAAAGATAGAACCTTTACAGACTGTGCCTAACCGAGCATTCATTCTCTCAAGATGCTGAAATAAATAAATACATAATATTTTGCCACTCCTGTTCACAACTAAAAATCTACATTTGGTGTATGATTTTACTGCAATAAATGTTTTATTCTGCAGGAGTTAATATTAGGCTATATTAGGCTATGACCTGACATTTTGAAGTCCTCTTGTGACTGTCGAATTTGTATAGCACCTCACAATCATCACACATAACTTCAAATCTTTTTCAAACATTATGCTACTGTTCTGGCCCTCCCTCCTATTTATTTTCAACTCTCCATTTCACAGCTTTTCTCTTATTGAATTAAACTCTGACATTGTCCTTTTTGCCTCAGTGAATCAATGTTAACTTTTTTTGCCCAAGTTCCCAAAAGCATTTGGTAATTGGTGTGTATTCGGCGAGTGTAGGGTAAAGCTTAGACTAATTGCTACGCACTAATGCCAGATAAACATAATGAAATAAAAACCTCAATGTAGCCTATAGATATGAATTGCAGAAGAATTATACATTCATGGATTTTTTATGCATTGTTTTCTCTTTATTCAACCTGCCAGCCACCTGCCCTTCATACACGCATTTCATGACCCTAAACCCGCCTGTCCCGCAGATATAACCGCAG